ACTCTAAGGCACTCTCCACATGTCCTTTCCAGCACAATAGTCAGATGTCTTACATGACAACTCAAAGCTTCTTTACCACACACTCTAAGAGGAAAAAAATATCGCTAATCTCTTCAGGTGCAGACCTGCAAGAGGACAGCATATTCCTTCTGTCATATTCTATTGGTCAAAACAGTTCTAGCCCATCCAGGTTCAAAGTGGCCAGGGGATCATAGACGTCATCTTTTTATAGGAGATTATCAAAGAATTTTTATCCATCTCTAATCTACCACACTAGGGAAAAACTTGTATAGCACTATTTGTTGCTCATATGCTATATTTTTCAATGTAAGATATTATACAAATATACACTGAACGTTTAAATGTAAAATTATTTATTAGGGTAAAAGATACATTCCCATTAATCCCCCTCAGGACACTGTCCGTCTCTTCAAACACATGTGTCCCATCATTCTTGCCACTTTATAAAGCAATTCCACAAATCTTTCATGAGTATCTTTATAAGTAGTGATTAAAAACCATAGTAAACACTGCTGCTGAGTGTCATCCAGGAGAAAAGCAGGCTTATAAAAACATTACAGCATGTTGTCCTCATCCTTATTCACCAAATCTGGCACTGTTCACCTTCTGGCTCTTCCCAAAGTCAAAATAACCAAGGAAGATAAATGTTTTAGTTGGTTCAGGACATCGAGGCTGCCATGACAGCACGATTAAAGACATAAAGAAGCCTTCCAGAACTGCTTCAGAAAGTAGCAAGAATGATGTAGGTATGTTCAAAGTGAAGGAAAGTTTTGAGGGGAATTAATGACACTGTGTTTTACTATAATAAATATTTTTTTAATTTTATTGCTCACCATATTTTTGATCACATCTCATACCTGCTTCACTTTATGTCTCCAATTAACTTAATTCATTAAAATAGTTGTCAAAGTGCATTGAGTGGCAGTGTAATGGTTAAGAGCATTAGAGTTAGATAAAGCTGGATTTGAATTCCAGTTCTGCCTTTTGCTGGCTGTGTAAACTTGAACAAGTAACTAAACCCCTTTGAGCTCTAGTTTCTTCATCTATAAAATGATGAAAGATAACAACAATACCTCCCTCTCAGGTCTGTCGGAATGAGAGTATATAAAATACTTAGCACAGTGCCTAACACGCTGTAAGTGTTCAATAAACAATTGTGATGGTGATAATAATTGATGATTCAACATTTTAACTCTTTGCATGGCTGTTTCCAACCTAGAGTGTGAGGTCAAAAATTTTGTCTCTCTCCTTTAAGTTCAGTACTTGGAACAGGTCCTGGCATTAAAATATTGAGCAAGTGGATATTGAGACAACTGTATAGCAGCACAGAAATGATTTGTCTCCACCGCAATTCCTTGGTTTAGATGTGTACAGAGGCTAGAATATAATATTGCAAGGTTGAGTAAGTGCAAGTTCCTAGGTAGTAAGAAGGCTCAAGGCTATACTGAAACATACTTGAAATTGTACGGTAGAACTGTAGCTCTGAGGAACAGGCTGTCCTAACACACAGAATTTGCAGCATTTCAAATAGGCTGGGACTTTGGGAAGTGCATAAATCAGAAGAGGATATATAAACCAATTCCTATGGCTTGTCCAGCAATGGCCATCCCAAGAGTCAAGAAGGCTAAGGAGCAAGGGTGCTAAAAGAAGAGATATTAAATGCAAAATTGAACAGGGTATTTGTTGTGAAAAGGACTCTGTGGGAATGCCTTGACCTTTTTCAGAACACCTTTGTATGATTTTAAATCTCCTTTAGAAGGTTGAATTCCTAATGTAAGTAGCAATATTCTGTATTTGTTGGCTGTACACCTCAAGCCAGGTCAGATGCTAGAAAAAAAGGAGAGAATTTCTCTTGTGTTCTATTCCCAGTATGTTTCAAATTGCGCCTTGGTTATTTAGGTTCTGCAATTCTTGTATAAGGCTCATGATTTCTATTCTTTTTGATTGACGTTGAAAATCCGCTTTGGCATTTAATAGTTAAAAATAAACCAAAGAAACAGTCAATGCAATAGGAGCCTTTGAAATGTCATGTACAACCTGCCCTCTAGCAAGACCTGCTGGGCAGTGTAGCCTATGGAACTCTTGGCATATTGAACAAAAGGAAGAAGGAAGAAAGGAAGTTTATCTACTCTGGCTTTAGCCATATGTCATGAATACATTTGCTTTTAAATGAATTTATAAAATATTAATGTAATCATACGAGACAGCAGAGTGGTGAGTACATCAGTCAGAAGTTATATTTATCCTATATATTTGTTTTTGTTTATCTCCATTTATTAGTAGACAGAACATGGAGACAGGCATTTCCTTCTCAGTGGAAGTGGCGGAACTTGTTTAATGAAGTGATGTTTCTGTAATCGGTGGTAGAGTTGTGAATGAAAGAGCTGTGTGAATAACAGTGAGGATGCAGACAGAACAATAAAGGAGGACAAACATTTCAGTAGGAGGGGGAAATAGATGGGATTGATTATTTGGCACATAATCTAATCTGATCTTTTCCTAATGAAAATTAACAGTTTGTAAATGAATGAGATAATGTTAACAATTTCTCCAAAATCTTCTGCTTAAGCAATGTGATTTTCCAAAGACATAAAGGGCATTCTGAACCAAAGTGCCATTATTATATAGCATAGGAAAACAGGTACCAGGGGGCTTAAATTCTCCAATACCAAAAGGGAACCTAGGAACCCCACCCCCTGCATAGAGCCTGACATATAGGAAGCCTATCACAAATGTTTGTGAAATGTGAGAATGAGTGTCTGAACTAGTGACTGTCAGTATAATTGCACATTTTGAATGGAAGAAAGAAAACTTACCATTCAGGACTGACTATCACGCCAGAGGTCTTCATATCTGTTCTGTCCTTTCATCCTTTAAACTAAATGTAATTATTTATTTCTTTAAAAAGGAAATGGAAACACAGAGATATTAAGAAACTTTCCTCAAGGTCACATAACCCTATATAAAGGAGAGTAGAGATATGAAAGCTACGGGAGAGAGGTTGTGTGTGTGTGTGTGTGTGTACATGCATGTTGTGTGAAATGACATGTGAGTGCTAAAGGTATATGTTTTCATTTAAAAAATCCTCTTGGGAGAAAAATTTTTTTCCTAAAACTTTTAAAGGTCTTGACGTTTCAGTATGACAAGCATGTGAAAGGATCACAGATGTCCTAGCTTGTTTGAGCTGGGCTTGTAACAGGAGATACCCATGTGCCACCCACTTGCCCATCTGCCTAGACATAGGACTCCCTATTACTGGGCCTGCTAGACCTGAAGCTCTGCTTTTGTGGGAACTACAGATTCTTCCTGCTTAGTTTAGGCCCACTTCCTCTAACATCTTAGAACTATCCAAGACTTAAGGGTTACCTTGAGGATATCCTTACAAGCATTACCCTCTGACCAGTGTGGTGAACATGGTGAAGTTTTGGGAAATAAACCCTGCTGCTACTACTGCAACTACCCCTGCACTACCAGAACTCTTCATGTAATAATTTGTTTGCATAGTTCTATAGTGAGGACAGGTATGAGAGGCAGGAAAAACAAAGCAGCACTCCCTTCTCTCAAAGAAATTGCAATTTTATATAGAAATGAAATCAGTACTGTCCCTAGACCCAGGCAAGTGAGGCTTCTGCCCTGGGCCCATACCTGAGGGGACCCATGCTCTAGAAGGCCTACCTTGATATATTTTAAAGGCCTTTCCAATGCTGACCACTGGCCAGATGGTCAGTCCCAGGAGGAGAATTGCCCTGATTCCAGAGAATGCCCTGTGATCTGATCACAAGAATCACCTTTTCTGAAAGTTTCTATTTCCTGAAGTTTTCTATGTTTTCCTCCTGAGGAGACTAGCTGTTTTATCTGGATGAGGAGCCCCAATCTCAACCTAGACCCATATGAACTCCAATATCCATTTCTCCTCTTTGTAATATTTGCCAGTCCTCTGCCCCACATAGGGAATCAACTAGAGACCCCAGGAAGCTTCAGGATTCATGCCTGTGGAATCCTCCCAGAGTCTTGGTTCCAGGAAAATGGCCTGACAAGTAAATCGCTCGAGCTAGATGAAATGATACCTTTAATGGTATTGTAGGAGATTGTGCCACCAGAATGTTATTGATGCTGATTGGTTTGGATCAAATTGTGTACAGAGAGAATCCCCTTCAAAACATGTTGGGGCACTGGCACATGTCCGTAAAGCATCCCCGAATAAAACAAAAGGCCATGTAAAATAAAATAAAATTCAGCAGCAACAGATATAGAAAAGTTTTTACACAAAGAGTTAAGAATGGACCAAAATTATCTGCAAAAGCTTGTTCAAGGAGAGTGAGACTTAAGCGAGACCTTGAAGAATGAGAAAGTTTTGGAGAGGCTCAAATGATTCTAGGCAGGGAGAACAACATGAACAAAGGCACAGAGAGTAGTTAATTTACTGAGACATTTTGTGCTATGTACTGTGCTACACACATTTCATTTGTCATTTTAATTACTTCTCTCAGTTCCCTGTCAGGTAGGACTTATGAACCCTATTTTACAGCTGAGAAAATGGGAGTTCATATTGCTAGCAAATGGTAGAAGTAGAGCCCAAATCTGCCTGATATGGGTGCTTTTAACACCATGCTGTACAATAAATAGAACATGTACAAGGGGTAGCCAGAAGCCTGATTGAAATTGAGCTGAGGCTGTGTGTTGGAAACTAATAGAGGCAAGATCACTAGACAAGGTGCAATCATATTGCAAAAGATGTAGAATATCAAAATGAGATGTAGAAACTTACATAGGCTCTGATCAAAAAGAAAAGAAAACCAGCCCTATACAAAGGAAAGTGCACAACCATAATATAGTATTGAAGACCTGAAAAGACTAAGCAGCATGTTTTTAAAAAAAAATATTTTGCCTTAGAAAGACCCTTGCTTTGAAACTTGTATTTTGCCTCTATTTGACCTTGCTGTTGTCATTTATTGATCTCTTTTTCCTTTCCTTTTTAGACTTTGATCCTGCTCTTGGAATGATGACTGGAATTCCACCAATAACTCCAATGATGCCTGGTTTGGGAATAGTGCCTCCACCAATTCCTCCAGATATGCCTGTAGTAAAAGAGATCATACACTGCAAAAGCTGCACACTCTTCCCTCCCAACCCAAGTACTGTTCTGCTTTTTTCCCCATATAAGTCACAATGATTTGGTATATAAGAAAGCTACCATCAGTTTCAGAAGAATACCCAGGGGCTTCATAAATGTATGTACAGTAGCTTCACCTAGAAAACAGAAGAGAGAATTGTTTCTCACTAGGCAAAGCTGCATTTTATACACTGCATTTTATACACAGTTTTATGTGCTGGTTGCAATACAAGTAATATAACATGTTTCTAATGCTGTCTGGTAGGGAATTCAAGTGTGTTAGTTGAGAAGGCACCCAGTGCAAATTGCTCCATGCTGTCATTTGTAGTGTTCTCAAAAATGGCCCACATGCTGCTGATGGCAGAGCTTGAGCATAGTCTAAGCCCACCTAGGTCACATGGTAATCTGTATTTGGTGCTACCAATTAGTCACACATCATTCCAACTCCTGCTATTCTCTCACTGCTACCAGTTAGTCACACATCATTCCAACTCCTGCTATTCAACTTATGGGCAGCAATACACAGTGACGTGTAGTTCAAGTTATTGGGAGGGCAAAGGGAAAAGTTAAGGCTAAGTCCAACTACTTGTAGCCATTCAGTCAACACAGTTCACCTGGAAACAGTCTAGGCATCTGTCTTGTCTTACCGGTCTTACATTCTCTAAGGAGAATAGGCTTCTCCTTAGACTCACTTTAAAATATCAGTAAAGATAAGGCTATGTAAGTTTAAATGTACCACCAATAAAATTGACTCAAAATTTCTTTAGAGCCATTTTGAGCTTCATATCCTTTAAATGATTTTAAGCTACTTCTGCACATGACTTAAGCCTCACTAATATTTTGTCCATAGTCCCAGTGGTGCTAGGTAACATACTAAGGGAGCTGCTGCTATGGTACAAGGAGACCCATTCACATGAACAAAACTTATCAAAATAAACATGAACCTTGGGCATATGACTTCAGACAAATACTTAACCATCATTTAATCATGATTGAGACCCTAGCAGAGACCCATTCTACAGTATTTGGTATGATCTGCTTGTGACTAAGGTTTTAGCATCAATAAGGGTTAGACATACCCTCTTGAACACTTTTGCTAGTGCAAATTGATCTTATTGCATTCTGGTTTTTGAACTTAGTTTTGAACAGAGTACATCTTTCGAGACCAATAATAAATCTAAGAGGCCAACATTTTGGAGAACTGTACTGGGGGAAGATCTAGCATATCACAGAGAGAGTTAGGGAACTGATGATAAAATGTCCTTGTAGGCCTTACTTGCCAACTCAAATGGCCATTCCTAGATTTGTGTTTAGTGCTTCAGTGAATGGGCAGTGCTGTTATATGTTTGTCTTTTATTCTTAGTTCCACTGTCCTTGAAAATGTGCAGTGGCATTTTCCTCCCTTGCTTCCATTGTGTTGCTTTTGGATTGGAGAAAACTTTGTATCCCTGAGAGTACCTTTTTTGTGTCAAAGGCCATGAAGTTAGGCATTGAAAGTGCTTATGAAAAGCTAAAATCCTGTTGATTTAATCATCTATAGATGGTATAATGAGCACTAGGTTTACATTGCCTTGGTCAAGTCTAAGCTAACTGGATGGTTAAAAACCTAATATGTCCAGGTCATGGGCAATAAATGACTTTAAGAATGTTGTCTTGGTTATTTTTCTCTTGTTGCTGAGACAAAATACCTGATGCCCAAAATGAAGGAAGGAAAGGTTTATTTAGCTTACGGTTTGTGGAGGTTTCAGTCCATACACGGCTGGCTCCAAGTCAGCATGGCCCATGGCAGAGGGCAAACGTTCATGGTGGTGGAAGACAGCAAAGGCAACAAGAGCAAAAAGGGAAGAGTAGCAGAGGGAAGAGCAAGCCTCTCTCCCTCCATTATATTGTATGCAAACTACCTGCCCCAGGACAGGTGTAGCACTCATACCCATAATCCCAACATTGGACCATGGATCAACCATAAACTCTAGAAGCCTGCCCCATAACTGCATGAGGATTTGGGGGGACGTGCAGACACAAACCATGACAAACGTTACGTTTCTAAATTTCCAGAGAATAGCACAGATACCTTGTTTAGAACATAGAGACCACATTGTTGAGCAGTCTTTGAATGCATGTCAAAATATATAGCTTAAAGAGGCTTAACTTCATAGTCTCTAGTAAAAGAAACAGAAATATCACAAATATATGTTTTATCTTTTTCCACCTCAAGCCATGGCTTCACACTTCTGAGTTGGGAGTGCCACCGAGTAAGAGGGAAGCAGCACTATACTCTCACAGCTCAATCTTTAGTTCTTTATCTTTGGATTAAGAATGCTGAGAGGGCAATTAGGGGGTAGCTTCTGGGAAGGAACCTGGCTTTTAACTGAACTCAAAAATAATACTCCTGACAAAGCTTAAAGTATACTAATGTTCTCTTGCTTTATTTTAGAATTTGAATTTGGGGGAAAGGAGTCTTATAAGTTGAGTGGGGAAAATACTAGCTGAGGTATCTCCCTGAGTTCTTTACTGAAAAAAATAGCATGGCAAAAAATGCCATTATTATTAATAGTGCCAAGGCTTATTTTTGTGAAGGTGAGACTGGAAGATCAGTAGAAGACAGAAAGAACAGGGGAGTTGGTATGACTGAACCCCTTATATTCTCAAGGGACCACAACCCCCCTCCATAAAGCCCTGACTAGAAATTCCACTGCTTTCTCTTGCCTGCCTCTGGTATATTCTCTTACACTGAATGACATCTGACTCCAAACTTCCTCTCAGCAATAATAACATCTAATGATTCAGAGACCCTCACAATATCTTTATTCACCACCTAGTCTACTTCCAAGTCTTGTTTATTAGAAGGTATCTTCTCCATCAATTCCTCCCCCTCTGTTCCACCTCACACTTCATTGAGATGCTAGTCACATATACAGAACCATAAAATTGTCCTGGAGCCCTCATTGCCTACAGATTCATAGTCCAACTTCTGACCTCAAAACCTTTCACTGATCTGCTTCATGACTGTCTTCAGAATATCATCTCTACTTGCCACATACCCACCCTTTAGTCAGGTTCAACTGCTTTCTGACCTTACACTCCTTACACTCCCCTCCAGCCAAGCTCCAAGTGCACACTCTCTAGAATGCTTCTCGTGGAAGGCACTGAAATTAAATCTCTGACAAATCATTCTAATGCACATTCACTTAAAGAGTGGGTGCTAGACCCAATGTATACTTTTTAAGTCCTTAAATTACTTTATATTTCTGCTTTATTTAGTACTATTGACCACTTCATCCTTCTTGAAACCTCATTTGAATGTGAAAGTCATTTAAAGGTGAAAGAATGACTGCAGCCACCCAGACAGATTATATAAATCAAAAGCAAAGACCATCTGAGGAATCCCACCATTTCCCAACCTCTGAGGAATCCCACCATTTCAAAATTTAAAAAGAAAAATAGGAGTTTGCATTTTGGTATATTCCTTAGCAGCAAAAGTCCCCCAAAGGACTGTACAAAGATTGCTAGTTCTCCTATTTTACCTCTGCTTCTCTGATGTTACTGCTCCTATGTCTCTATCAGCATGTCCCTTGTTTGAGAACACTGAAGACCTTACAATGCTAAACCCAGTGGACATTTCTCAAATCTTTCTAGTTGATATTATAACAATATATGACACAATTATTTTTTTACTCCTTATACTTTCTCCCCCTGGCTTCTAGGACACCATACTACTGGTTTTCCTCCCACCATACTAGTGGTTCTTTCTCAGTCTCCTTTGTTGGTAAACCCCTGTCTTCTTATTGGAGAGCTCTCAGTCCTTGAACCTCTTCTTTATCTATAGTCATACTTTTGATGGTCTCCTCTAACCTTGTAGCTTAAAAACTATACATGAATGATAACCTAAATTTATGCTTTGAGGTTAGACCTAGCCTCTGAGTTCCAAACTCATATCCAACTGCTTACTTGCTAGCTCCATTTGAAAATCAAATAGACATCTCAAACTTAAAATGTTCAAAATTAAATTTCTAGATTTGCCCCCAGGCCTGTTCCACTAGTACCCTTTCCCATCTTCCATGCAGTGATGGAAACTGCATTCTTTCAATTGCTCAGGACAAACTTAGACATCATGCTTACTTACTTTCTTTCCGTCTCATACCACATTTAATTTTAGAAAATTCTGTCCATTCTAAATTATATGGATGAAATCCTACTACTCATAATAACCACTGCTATGATCCAATTTATATCCATTATTTTTCATTTTCTGAACCATTGCAGTAGCCTTCCAGTTGAGTCTTCCTCTTTCACCCTCCCTCTCCATAGTCTATTCTCCATAGAATAGGCAGAATGATCCTTTTAAAACTAAGATTATGTTGCTTCCCTACTCAAAACCCTTCAGTGGCTCTCCAGTTTACTCACAATAAAGGCTAAGTCCTTTTAAAGGACTATATGGTCTGCTCCCACTCCACATTTTCTCTTTGACTTTCTTTCTCTGTTCTTCTCAGGATGACCTCCACGCTGCTTTATGAAAATACCAGAACACAGCAGATGTTCTTCCATCATAAAACCTTTGCCCAGGCTCTTGCCTCTGCCCAGAATACCCTTCCCCCAAATATCTATATAGCTAACTCTCTCGACTTTTTCAAGTCTTTACACAATGTCACTTGCTCAGTGCTCTGATAATCTACTTAAAAGTGAAGCTTTCCCCACCATACTCTTTGTGTTACATTATTGCCACTATTTTTATATAACACATTACCTATTTAACAATCTATGTAATTTATAGAAGAGAAACTCCACAGAGACTAGATTTTTGTCTATTTTGTTCATTAAAATTTCCCCAGAACTTAGAAAAGTATCTGACATCTAATAGGTATTCAATAAATGTTTGTTGAAGGATAGGTGGATGGACAGCTGGGTCGATGGATGGGTGCATGGTGCCAGAAGGGGCAGTCAGAGCTCTGAAAAGCAAACCAAGTGAATAGAGGGTAATTGCTATTACATATTGATCACTTTCAAATCTATATTTTTGGTCTGTATCTCTCTTCTGAGCTTCAGGAACATATAGCCAACTACCCACCAGAATTGTCTCAGTTAATCAACATCAAATGTTTAAAAGAAGAGATTGTAGTATAAGAGACAGATTATAAGACAGAATTGTGTTCCACTCCCAGCTCTGTCCCTAACTAGCTGTGGGATCTTGCCCTGTCATGTGATATTCTTGGGTCCGAGTTTCCTTATCTAGAAAGCAAACATACTAGATTAGATTAACCAAGGCACCTGCAAGACTTCATCCAGCTCCAAAGTTATGGTTGTACACATTAAAATACAGCTAGCACTATAATTATTCATCTAGACAAAATCCATCAAAATATATTAGGCAAAACAAGAGCAGCTCAGTTGGTAGTGTACAGAATTTTGTACCTTCACTGGAACAAGCAGGGTAGCATAACAAAGTACTTGAGCTCTGAAGTAACATGAGCCTGCATTCAGAGCCTAGCTGTCCATCACTAAAGAGCCATGAGATCTTTGGTGACTAACTTAACCCCTCTGATCTAGACTAGGCAAAATAAGACCTGGTCTAAAAATTCAATGGCTCATTCTAGACTAGAGCAAACCAAGTACCAGTCTCTTATACATAAGTGGTAAGTATCCCATTGTCCTGAAAGCAACATCCTCTGAATCCCAGGATTTTCAGACATAGACAACAACAATAGCAAAACCTCTCTGGAACATACTTTTTGTTCTCAGGGTGGCTGGCTATCAGAGATTTACTGAATTTTCAGTTAGCACTTGTCTACGGCGAGAGAAATGAGCAGCACCATCTCTGGAAAGAAGTCAGTTTGGCCAATGTTTATCACTTAAGCTGCTAAACCTTCTGTATGGAGAGGTTACATTTTGAGTCTACTGGAAATACCAGTGAATGAGGACTAAATGATGGAATGGCATCTGTTCTCTATGTCCAGGTACATGGGAAAACACTCAGGAGCCAGAAAAAGGGCAGGTGTTTTTTTTTTTTTTTCATTTTACCATATCAAAACAATTTGGACCCCATTTTGGTTCTCAGGGCTGGATTCTACAAAGAGAATTAGAGAAAACAGGATAATTGAACGTTAAGAACAATTTGCCAAACTTCTGATTAGTTCCAATAAATTAGGATTACATTAAAATACATTTGACCCCTGCTGATTACCTAGGGGGCCTTTAGTCTTGGGTTGTCTAATAAAATCAACTCAGAGACTTTGCATTATATAAATTCTAGGAAACCACCTGAGAAATCTATAATGCACCTTTGCAGAGGAAGATTCACATAGTTAATTGGTCCTATATGCTGCCCCCTCATTCAATTCACAAAGCTGAAAAATTACTATAACCCTAATGCTGATTGTTGCCACATAGCTCCCCACAGTAGATGCTGGGATGTGATTAGAATCACCAGAAACTCCTCCTTTTCCATTACCGGAAATTAATTCTTTATACTCCCAGTTATTTTGAATCTTTTCACATGGCAGTTTTCTTGGTCTCCATCCTGAATGGTGATTGAGGTGCTACAGAGCTGAGCACATTAGCTGATAAATAGGTGGAGTTTGAATCTGCTTTCCTATGGGGTTATCATTGCTGTGCTCTGATCACTGCATTTCAGTAGGATTAGAAACTCAGACCCCGACAACTAAGTGCCTTGTGCTGTTAATTAAGGAATGGGTACTATTCATTAAGGAAGATAGTACAGCCCATTGACTTGCTGGGCGGCATACACCTAAATCTCCACAAATGCTATCAAAGAGGCTTTGTACATTTAGCCAAAGAAAATAAAGCCCAGACACTCTCAACATTACTTTTGGTGGATTTTATGCCCCTTTACTTAGCAGACACTCACCAGAGAAGAATCACAGCATCTAAATATGTGATGACTTCATCAAAGAATTTTTAAACCCCACAAATGTAGTCAGGGGAAGAAACCTTTGCATTTTCAGTGTTATATGTAACTGTAGCAGTCACCACACATTCTTTAGAGTCTCTCATTGTACCTAAAGGTAGACCCAACTAAATTAGGACAGTGTAAATGTAAACATCAGAAGCTCTTTATTCTAAATCAGTACATTATTCTAAAAACTTTGATTTGAAAGCATTTCTAACTATACAGGGTCTCTTAAATTCTGTATATACACAGTGACTGGGTTGTGTTCCACGGGCGAAGCCATATGTGTTTTCACAGGTGTAGATTCCTCTCTCCATAAGAATGATTCCTGCTCAAACTCAACCTTGGCTAAAGATTGGGGTAAAGCAAGGGAGTTTCGAAATCCAGGTCTTAGCTACCACTCTACTCCAGATATGTGGTAGGACTTTAGAAAGCCCCAGGTTGGGCATATAGGAAACCTGGCTTCTATAATACAAAATAATAATGCTATAATGGCTACTACTTATTGGGAACCTACCAAGTGTTAGTATTGCCCTGAGTGCAATATAAATACTATAATGTCAATACCCTACAATAAGTTCCATAAAGTAGGGAATATTATCCCTATTCTAAAGATGAAAAGAGAGATTTTCAGACATAATGTGATTTTTTTGAAGATCTTATAAATAGTAATTCAGACTTAAATCCAGCTTTACCCATTCCAAGTTCGTGTTCTTTTTCTTTCTGTCTAATGTGATATCCTCAAAATGAGCTTCATTCAGCCAAGCAATATCAGAGGTTTAGACTAAGTCATTGGTTTTCAACCCTAGCTATATGTTAGAACTACCCAAAAAGCTTAAACACCACCACCCAAAAACTAATATACAGGGTGCACCCTCAATTAAATCAAGACTCATTGGGTAGGGCTCAGACATTAACTATGAAGTAGATTCTAATGTGCTGTCAGAATTAAGAATAATCAGAAATATGATGGAGAGAATTATTTCCAATTCTTAATACCTCAGAGGCATAAATCTCAAGCAATTCTGAATCTCATTGCCCTCCTTTTTGACTAAAACTACAACCTTAATGGCTATGAGTAAGACATTTCAGATTCCTGCTCACTAGATGACTTTTTCTAGTGCCTAAACCCCTCATAAAAAACAAAACCAAAAAGATGATCTCTTCAAATTACAGACTTCAAAAAATTAACCAAGTGTTTAGGTGCCCTGAATCCTATTACTCTTTATTAACTAAATAGAGGGAAAGTAGCAGGTATCAAGAGAAACTAACTACAGTATTCTTAGCCACACCAATAGGACAGACAGCTATAGCAGAGTAAAAAAGCTAGTTTTTCTGATACCCAAAGAAGCTCCCAAAGCAACTATTGCCAACTTGTGTAAGAGTCAGATGGGGACCTTGGACTAGTCTACTAGTGAGACTCATTTATTTTTGCATGTGAACTCTAATCACTGGTTGTTGAGCTCTCTAAATCTCAAGCTGGGAGAATTGTTAAGAGCTGAATGGAAAGAACGGATTACACAAAATAAATCCTTGCAGATACAAAACCAACACTAGAAAAGCCCATGACCATCGTGCCTTGTTTTGTTGGACTATGAACTGTAAGATTTTATGTAGAAAATGCCTTGATCCATGTAAATAGTAACAAGGCACTGGCAGATGCAACAGGCTTTAAGTACGATATGAGTGAATAGGAAACAGATTTTTAAGCAGAGGGAGAACCGTCTCATTAAGTAGGTTTTTAATGACTCTCTATGGCCAAATTTATCTCATTTTAGTTAATGATTTCCCAGATGAGCTTAATCTTTCTGCTGTCTTTCATATTTCTCTCTAAATGCTGCAAGATTGGCTCTGGTCCATCCCTTTCAAGCAAGAAATTGGAGGAAGAGCTCATTGGTATAAAAAAACCTAAAAATTCAAAAGGGATTGTCTGTACTCTGACTAATTTGTTTAACTAAATCATCCTAATGGCTGTAAATACTTTTGTAAATATTCACCCCATCATTGTCAAATTAATCCTGAAACAGCTCTTTGAGTAAGCATAAACAGAGAATGTAGTACCTACAATCTGAATTAAACAAATCCTTTCTCAGAGACCCTGGTTCTATGAACTGAAAGTAAGAATTTAAGCTGAGTGGGATTTTCCACATCTTCCTAATAAAAATGATTCAAAATTTGGCATAGCTGGCTTATCACAATAAAAGTAAGGAACAAAACTAAAAATCTCTGGATGGGACAGACACAGACAGGCCTGCGTATTTGTCTTCTAGACACAGAAGTCACCAAACTGTTGAATGAAACAATTTTCAGGTTCATCCAGTCTGTTTTCAGTGGAGCTGAGATAAGCAGCTTGAAGGCCACATACTTTTAAGAGCACTCAGGCAAAAATTTCGTGGGGACAATAGAGGCATCACTGAGAAATCTTAGGTTCCAAACAAACATAAATTTTTAAAATTTACTGCAGTAAAAGATGCATTGCCATTAATCCCCCTCTTTTAACATACTTACTTAATCATTCTTAGCACTTTATGAAGAAGTTCTCGAAGCCCTCTTTCCTGAGTGTCTTTAGTAGCTCGCTTCAGCAGCACATATACTGAGTGTCTTTAATTGTGCTGTTGTAGTTGCCTCCATGTCCTGAATAGATCTGAAACAGTTTTAAAGGTCAACATTTTTTTAATTTTCATTTTCATAAGTACATGTTTGCAATACATAATGATGACATTCATTGTGGGTGGGGAGTTGGTACGTATACATAACACAGTATAATTCTTTTTTTCATCCCCTTCCCCCCTCCCTCCATCTTTTGTCCCCTTGCCCTTTGTAAAAGATCTATTTTAAATGCTTTTACCCTTTTCACTTAGATCTGCCACCTCCTGCCACCCGAGAAAGACCACCAGGATGCAAAACTGTATTTGTGGGCGGTCTGCCTGAAAACGGGACAGAGCAGATCATTGTGGAGGTGTTCGAACAGTGTGGAGAAATCATTGCTATCCGGAAGAGCAAAAAGAACTTCTGTCACATTCGCTTTGCTGAGGAGTACATGGTGGACAAAGCCCTTTATCTGTCTGGTAGGTGTTTAGATGTGGAGACTGTGCCGATTGGGAACAATGCAGAAATTGAGGATGTGAGTATTTGTATCTGTGGTAACTAAAGTGTAGGCTTAATGTTACCCTTTTTGCCTTCAGAGTTGGAAAATGCATGTTACCTCCCATCTCCATCCTTTAAAGTCCCACAGTAGCTCCTAACTCTTTATAGGATCACTCCAGATTCTAAGCATGTAACACCTAAAAGACTTGATTATCTGCTGTGCCTCTCAGCATTATCTCTCAATTCTTCCTGCACATACCGTGTACCAACTGCACTGAATAAATTTTAGTTCCCAGAATGTGCCACGGTGTTTTATGCTTTTCTCTCTGACTAGAATTAGTTTTCCTACCCCTACCCACCACGCAAAAATCTCACAGGTGTGTTCAACCTGTGGGCTGTGTGTTGGACATGCCTGTCTTGCCCTGAGCCGCAGTGAGTAAAGAGGAATTGTCTTGGGCTGCGTATAAAACACATATTATAGTTAATGTATGCAAGTGACAAAACTTCCTTCACTTTTTATATTTTTCATTGTAACACAGGCACATCCAACCTGCAAGTTGGGTACCTTATACTTATGCTACAGCTCAAGCACAAGGTTCCCTTGAAATTTTTCTGGCTTATCTTTCCCCTCTATCTCAGGTTGATTTAGGCACCCTTCCCAAATGCCTCTGTGGCATCTGGTGCTTCCTCCTGACATGACACCTATTACACCATGTTAGAACTGACTCTTTCCTCATCCAGAGTTTGAACTCCTCTATGGCAAGGGCTGGGTCTTATTTAACATTTGATCCCCAATGCCTAGGACCTAACACAAAAGTTAGAAACTCAAAAAATAGTTACAGAAGGATCTTAGTTCATAATCTGCTGTGAGGACAAAATACCTGCACCTGGGTAGATAAAGAAAGGCGATTCATTTGTCTCCATTTCTGAAGGCTGGGTAGTCCAAGGGCATGACACTAGCATATGTGCAGCTGAAGAGGGCCTTCTCGCTGAACTCTAACAGAGGGCATCACATATAGAGATAGAGCAAGTATGCTAACTTGGGACTCTTTTCCCCATCTTTTAAAGGCACTAATGCCATTATGAGAATCTCATACCATAACTTCATCTAATCCTAATTACATCTTGAAGGCCCTACCCCAAATACCATTAACATAAATTTGGGGATTAAGTGTCCAACATATGACCTGTTGGGAGACACATTCAAACCATAGCAGTAAGTCAAATATTTATTGACTGCTATGCAGAATACTAGGTTACTGGAGATACAGCAAAGACTGAGATTTCCTGCCATATTACATTCTGGATATTACATTCTGGCAATAGTAAAATGTGATATATATGTAAACAAATAAACAAGTTAATATCAGGTACTGATAAGTGCTATGAAGAAGATAAAAAGGATAATGTACCTGGCAGCATTAGGAAAGGAACTTTTCTCTGATATTTGAACCAAGAACTGAACAGTGTGAAAGATTTTCATTGGTGATATCTCATTCTAAAATAAGGAGCAGCTAACCAAAGGCCCTGAGGTACAAATAAACTTAGAATGTTTAAGCAGAGTATAGAAAATTAGCATGGGCCTTTTGAACTACAGTCATGAGTTTTATACTGAAATCCACTGGAGGATTTTAAGGGTTGAAGTGACATGATCTAATTTACATTTGACGAATATTACTTCTGGGTAGAAGATAGACAGATACGTACAGCAAGCGTAGTGACTGGGAAATAATTTAACTAATTGTAACAGTAGCCTGACCCAGAAGCAATAATGGTTAAATAGTATTGTGGAGTGAAGCTAGTAAGAACTGCTTTCCACAAAATCTACTCATGGTGGAAGTTCAAATTTGGCGTGGGGCAAGGAATTATAATTGGAATAACTTCTGATGAGTACCATAAAGTGAAGCTGCATGCCTTTTGGGTTGGTTTGAAGTTCAAGTTTCGTGGTTGATCTTTTGCATATTTTGAATTGATATTGTTTTTATGGGGCAGTAGAAAGATAACCTAGAAGGAAGAAGACAGGGTAATTGGGAAAGCCAAAGAAAAATTAAGTACTTCTTCACCTAAGAGTAATGGTTTGGGAGAACTTATTTAAAGTGCTAGACATGTTAGGACACCAGAATCTTCATTCATGCAGTAGGTACTTTGTAATATCTCCTTTGAGTAAACTATTGTGCTAGATGCTGTGCAGAGGAAAAAATGAGTAAAACCTAGTTCTTCCTCTTAATGAACTTAGTATGAAGCAATACATTCCTTTATTAAAGAAACATTTACTCAGCAGCAGGCACTACTGAAAATACTGATAAGATGCACTCTCTGCTAACAATAATGATTGATAGCTATAAGTGCCATTAGGGAGGCAGAGGGGAGGAGGAGAGAATATGAATATGTCAGACTCTAAACTGTAGAAATGAGGAAAGGTAGCATTTGCATCAAGTCCTTGACAAATAGGAAGCATTTGCCTTTAGACAATGGGGCATGGAAGCAGCATGAGCAAAGGTACAAAGCTGAAAAGTTTTGGCAAGCATTCAGGAGACAGTAAGTGGTGGTTTGTGTACTAAAGAGACATGAGAGGAGGAGGAAAGCATCATTTGTTAGCATACTTGGAAAGGTTTGACAGTTGTGTCTTTCGTTACTCAACTGGTGATAAGAAATTGTTGAAGTAATTTTTGAACAAGGAAGATAGTTGTTTCTGAAAGATTAATCTGACAGCTCTGCGTAAAAATGGTCTAGAAGAGAGAAGGTCAATTGGAAGTCTGTTACAATAGGCCAGGGAGAAGGTAATGGAGATTTGAAAAAGTGGGGTAGTAACATGGAGTAGGAGAGAAGAAGGGAGATGTAGTTTACTCTTATAGTTGCTGAGTGCTGGAGAATTTAACTACTGAAGATCAGATAGCAGTTAGCAACAAGAAAAGAGCACTCCACAATAGACTGTTTTCATAAGCATGTAAAGGTCTCAAAAAGCCCTGAACAGTTATACATAGGACACAACATACTGCTCAGGAAGCAGTCATCTAAACATTACTAAAAAGAGCACTCTGCTAACAGCTGCCTCACAGAAACGTTCTCAGGGCTGCAAAAGGAAAGGGGATAACAATTGGTGCTGTGAAAATATCTAAATTTTGCCCTTTAAATTTGAATCTACCCACTTGGAAGTTCACAAATTCTAGAAATCTCCAGAATGGGATGGCTGCTATATCACATTATGGAAGAAAAATGCTTAAAATAATTAAAATCCTTTAGAAAATGATCCAAAAAAGAGTAGAAAGAATTGTCTTTCTTTGTCACAAATGAAGCACCTTTGGGAGACTGCACTGTGCACAGCACACCCATCCCGAAGCCCCATTGCATATGTTGTGTGATTTACATGGAGGTGTCCTGTCATACTCTCTTTTGATCCTATCCACAGTCCCAGGTGAATAGGTAAGGTAACCTTTTTTTTTCTTTAAAGAGAGTAGTAAAAGAAAGAGAAAAAAAGCAATAGCAGCATACCAACATTGCAAACATAAACAAAACAAAGCAAGAACATGAAAAGTGATACAGGGTTTCAAACAAAATAATGGGAATTAACAGTGGTTGTTATATTACATATTGTTATCTTCAACTGTGTTCCTCAGATTACCAGATGTAAGAATGGAATGGTTTGTTCAAACCATTAAAGAGAATAACAAAATAATTATTAGATAAAACATTAGAGATAATACAGTGTTTCACTGGACAAGATGGTAGGAGTTCACCAATGGTTGTTCCATTGCATATTGTTGTCTTCAAAGCAGGTGCTCAGATTATCAGATATATGCATGCAAAATTGTTCAGAACATAAAAATTTTAAGCATTAACTGTTCTTTCAATACACTATTAGACATCAGCAGTACAGTTATCCCAGCTACTTTTTCCTCTTTCCCTCATCCTGGTTGTTCCTTCCTTTGAGCAATTTCTTACCCTTTCATATCATCCATTGTAAATTTTGAGTTTTACTTACTCTTTCAGGTTCCTACACCAGGGAGACAATATGATGTTTACACATGTGGATCCGATTTATTTCACTTATGAGTATGGTCTCTAGTTTCATCCATTTACCTATAAAAGCCTCAAGTTTATCTTTTTTATAGCTGAGTAATACTCCATTGTATAAAAATACCACATCTTTTTAATTTAGTTATAACAAATTATGCTACTTTAACATGAGTGGATATATGTTGCTGTGGTATGATGTTTTTAATTCTTTTGGAAAAATACCCAGAGGGGAATAGCTGGGTTAAGTGGGACTTCCAATCCTTCCAATTTGTGAGGAATCTCCAACCTGATTTCCACAGTGCTTTCACCAGTTTACACTCCTACCAGCAGTGGAGTAGGGTTCCTTTCTCCCCACAACCTCTCCAGCATTTGTTATTGGTTGATTTCTTAATGCTAGCCATTCTTTCTGGGGTGAGATGGAATCTCAGTGTTGTTTTAATTTGCATTTCTCAAATGACTAATGACATTGAACATTTTTTCATGTATTTATTTGCCATTAGTTTGTCTTCATCTGAGAAGTATGTATTCATTTCAGATGCCCATTTTTAGATAGGGTCTTTAAATTTTGGAGGCCTGATTTTTTTTAACTCTTTATATGTCCCAGATAGAAGTCCTTTCTCTGAGGGGCAGTTGGCTAATTTTTTCCCAATTCGTGGGTATTCTTTTTACTCTATTTGTGATTTCTTTGGATGTGCAAAAACTTTTTAATAGGATGAGATCCCAGTTGTTGATTCTTTGAAGTACTTCCCTTGAAGTTTGGTTTTTGTTCATGAACTCTCTGATTACCCCTATACTTCAAGATTTTTACCTACTTTCTCTTCCAATAGATTTAGTGTTTCTGTTTTAATATTTGGATCTTTAATCCATTTTGACTTTAATTTAGTGCATGGTAAAAGACATGGGTCTAGTTTTAGTCTTCAGCATGTGAAAAGCCAGTTTTTCCAATAACATTTATTAAAGAGGC